TCAGAAAGGTAATTATTGGCCAAACCAGCAACACAGTGGCCTGCCTGCTGGCAAGTGGCAACTCTGAAGAGGGTCACAGTTAACAGAGAGCTCAGCAGGAGCTCCTGCTGCTGTTCCAGAACTAGAAAAGTTATTACGATCCTTAAATATAGGAACATCAAGTCAGACAAGATGGGGACTAAAGGAGTGCAGTTACTCAGGTATTTATCACCATTGTACAAAGGATTGCCACAAGCCATCCAGGAATGCCTTGTCTCTGGAAAACAAGCAGCCATCTGAAGTGCTCTCCCATTCTAGTTCATTCAGTGCTTGGCATTTCACTCACCCCAGTTTGTCTTTTTCTACACAACCAAGTGAAAAATATCCCTTTCTATATATTTTAGGAAAGGAAAGGCAAGGGAAAGGCGAGACAGTCGAGGAGACCAGAAACTGAAATATTTAATGATTGCTCATTACTAAACGATTTCACGAGGTCAAGATTCATAAGGAGATCCAGCAAATACCTTTTTCCATGACTGCCTAGTCTGAAGTTATCTCATCTAGATCTCATTCTGAGCAATAGGGGTAGCAAGCATTCGCTAGCTATTCTTTCCAGTGCCAGATTCACTAATCCCCCTGGTTTCTTCAGTAGGGAGTTGTATTCAGTATGGAAATTGTGCCCCCAGGATGCTCCCATCATATTCCTGCATACCAGGCACTCTAACTTCATCGCTGCAGCAGAGAGAAAATCAACTATTTACTGAGTTACACCTGGGAACATGCAGTTAAGAGTTTACCCTGTATATCATCAGGACACGTCTTCTGCCTGTTTCTCACCCAGCTGATAGCTGATAGCTTGCTTGCTGGGGCTTCCACAGGAAGCAAAAAAACAGCCTCCCTTTAGAGTAAGGAAAGGACATCACATATGATAGCTCTTTTAGGCTTTTTTGCCCTGGCACAGGCACCCCACATCCAACGCACCTACGGTCTGCAGCTGATGCCCGCCAAGGTGCCAACACTTCTCCCAATACAGGGAGACCTGCAGCAGTTGCTGTCTCTACTGCTTTTCAGAGGGCTTACAGTTCTCTCTCGTCATTCAGAGTTATATTTCATCTCTAGGAATCTGTTCTCTCCTGAACCTTTTCGAAGTCTAGCTCTACACTGCCCCTCCGATGTCACTCCATCTTCATTTGTGGAAGAGCTACCATCTCTTCATGCATCTTGTCCGTGATTCCCTTCCCTTATTTTTATATTAGGCCTTTGGAGAAACTTTCACTCATTCTAGCCACAATTTAAGCTCAGTCTACCATGTAATTTCAAACTCACATTCTTTCATTGCTGCCTCATGGTTTCCCACATTTTCAGGATGCCAGTCATGCTGCTTTCCACTGGACACTGCAGTCATAAGGGCAGCATCTCAAGTACTCATGGGTACTCCTGTGAAACACAGGATTATCTCATGTGTCTTGCCAAATATAATCCCATTCATAAAGCCTAGCCTGAAGCTTGCTTTTCTTCTAAGAGCCAGACTATCTCCCAGATCCCTTTGCTGACAGAATGCTGAACAGCTGCTCCGCCCCCCCCCCGATTTGTGTAGTTTAACCCTATCTACATTTAGCACCTGACTGAAAAGGATCCAGTCTTTCCCCACCATCTCCTGTCTGTCACACTGTTCCTACAAGCTGCCAAGATTATTTTGAATTTAATGCTATCTTATCTTTCACATCTCTCCAGCTTCCTGTTGACTACAAATTTAACATGCATGCTACTTTGTTATCCAGGTTGTTAATAAAAATGAAAGATAAGTGACCTAGAATAACTCTCACACAACCTCACGTCTTCTGTTTTGACACTAGGTGCAAGACAGAAGGAAACCACTCCCAGATCAGAGATGCTTGCAGACTAGTTCAGCCCAATGCTAAATATAATTCAGTCTCTAAAACCATGTTTTCCATTTTTGAAAACAGCCTTGTATACTTGCCTAAAGCAGCCACTACGGACGGATTCCATCCTATAATTGACTGTAACAAAGATGCCAAGACTGTCATCTAAAAATCTCTTTTGGGGCAGGTCTTCATGTCTTGTGCATGATGCAAAGCCAAAACCTCCCCACGTGAAACAAGTTTTAATCAGTGATTCCTTTTACTTTTGGTTCTCACATGGGATTGTATCAGGGTCTGTAGATAAAGTGCACAGATTCCTTTCAGCAGATTTCTTCATTTGCCAGCGTTACTGCACAGCTGTTCAACTACTTATTTTTCTGCTCACCCACCAAGAAGCTAAACTAGATAATTATTACTTCATACTTTCCTGAAACTTGTTCTTCATTATCTAAAACCGCTCCTCCTTCCACCTCCTCCTACACCATGAAAAGGCTATTTAGAGTTTTAACAGCCAGCTACCAGGAGGAGATTAGACTTCTGTGTTACTATAAGCAGACACACCTACCTTAACTTGGAAACCCCTTCCTGGCCGATGCATCTTCTGGCTTCATAGCGATTAAAACTAATGCTACAGAAGGGAGCTAGAGAACTTTACCTTTGAGGCTAGGTAATTCCATTCCTCAGAATCACAGCCAGACCATATTTCATAAGTGGAATAAAAATTGTATGGTCTGCCATTCTTGCCTTTGTTCTATCACTGTCATCTTTAACAAAACCTGAACCCGTTATTAAAGGTAAGTATTTTTTTTTTTCTTGACAAAGCACATCTTGCCTCCTTTACTTATGCCCTACGAAGCATTTTCTTCTTTTACTTCTTCCAAGAGCTCATTTTCTTTGGGGGAAAGGAAGAACCAAATGGACTGCTACATCAGCTTTCTCATTCAATGCCGTTACAGCTTTAACAGGAACACTTTCAAACAGGTAGATTAGCTTTTAAGTGATCCCAGCTGCACTAGTGGCCCTCGCTACATCCCTGCATTACAGTTGATTCAGTTTAACTTACCTCTGTTGCTCAATTAAGAATACACAAAGAGGACTGTTGTTCTGCAACGAGTAATTGCAGTCCAGGAGGGAGCTTGGTTGTTCTGTTACCTACCATGTCTGATCACCACGCTAGAGCACGTGGCCCATCTGTCCACATAGGAGACTGGCTGTATCTCATTTGGTACTTCTTGAAACCTAATCATATTTTTACAGTGTAGAAAGCATTTCTCAGGTGCATACAATTTTTTCTGGTAACTTTGTGCACTTGCATCCCACCACCTGTATACACAAATATTTTCTCCTATGTAGCAGGGAGTAATGAGACACACTCTTAACAGGAACTTCTGAAAGAGCTGAGGTCCCTGCTCCAATAGCAGCTCCTCCATTTACTCATTTAGAAAAAAGGAAAAATCATTCGATTTTTCCTCCACAGCAAGCATCTTCTCTTTCTCCCACACAACATGTATTAACACATCAAGAACCCAACAAGTCTCTTCAGTGCTTTTGTACCTTACTATACATGTAAACCAGTATCTATATATGACCAGCAGCAACAGTGGTCAGACATGCAGTATGAATCAAAAAAAAAACACAACAAAAAAGCTACTTAATAACTAAGAGAGCTACCCAGGCTTTTTAACTTTTCTATCAATATTAAGATACATAAGTTGGTTCGGGAATTCAAGGCCAATTCTCATTATGATCAAAGGCCGACCCAAATCACAAGGCAAGAGCTGTGTCATACTTTCCCCCAGCCTTTGTCATATGCCCCAAGATACTCACTTCTCATTTTAGTCACACTGTTTTAAGCTTATTTAAAATAAAATATATTAAAATATTTTAGTTTTATGGCACAAGTTACAGTATGAGCTGGCTCATTTAAGCAGACTAATGTGATGCCATAATTTAAGCTTCCCTATTTCTATGCAATTGAAAATCATTTTTAGATTAATTTCCCCCTTGTAGCTGACTGAACAAAGTATGTATGTGTTGTAATAGTCTGCAGTATTACGTTTGAGATGATTGCAGTGTATGTATTCACACTTTTGGGATCCAGGGCAAGTTAATCCCCAGCTCCCCAAATTAACTTGACTTCACTTTCTTTTCAGATGACCAAAAGTCTGCCCTCCCCCTCCACCCAATCCTACACATACACTGTGCTACAGAACCTGCTGCGGACTGTTCATTTCCGTTAGTAAAATTCATAACCAGACACAAATGCAAAGCAAAATGTCATTTTATTTAATTCAAGGACTAGTTTCCTTCTAGTATTGCTGAAGGGATCACCTCCTGGGGAACTGATCATTACAAAGTCCCTGTCTAAAAGTTCAAGTGCTCTTGTACATTCTTTTGAACCACAGAAAACATAATGACCAAGTAGGTGGGCAGCTCCTTGCAGTTTTATCCCACCTAAATTAGCATCGCTTCAGGCTAGAAAACAATTCAAGTAGTAAAATCATGGAAAATGTTAACCTTTAAGGTTACTACCATATTTTGATCAAAGAGTCCTGAATGTATGAAAAGAACATTTGTACATGTTATGAAGTTTTTTCAACCAGACACTGTCAAAGATGGCAGTTAAGTATTTTGGACCAGTTGTCAACCAGATATTTAAGAGTTCTATCTGAAGGTTTACTACCAATTTCATTATGCAATTCACTGTTCACATTAAGCTCTTTAACAAAAGAAACATATACCCGCACCAGAATCACTGTAGACAGATTTAGTTTTATAGAATGCCCTTCTGAAAATTCATTTCAAAATAGAGATGCTTTTTCTCCAGAACTGTAAAAGCCATAAAAATGCAAAATATCTGTTAGGAAATTTTTAATCAAAATTATTCCTTAATGTTCAAAATAACATTTAACCTCCTACTTCTTTTTTTTGTTGTTGTCGTCGTCGTCATACACATACTGATCAATAGACTAAACAGGTAACAATGGTTCACGTTTTTCCCCCACCTGAAACATTTCTTCTAACACAAGCCCAAGATAGGCAATACAGAGATTCAGGGACATGGATTATGCATGGCAAAGGTAATCCTCTATCATTTTAATTTAGAACAACTCTGATTCTAGCACACAATTTTGAGTCTCAGTTGTTTTCAATCTGCTCCAGGTCCAAGTCCCCACAGTCTAGAGGAAAGATGCCCTCTTCAGTGCTCTCACAATCACTTGTGTCCTCATCACTTTCACATACTGCAGCTGCTTTCTTATAATTCCTTGCTTTGAAGCTACCTTGGCATGACCCATGACGCCTCACTTCATCCAGCTGTTCTTTCATTGGACTGGAACCAGGGGTGATGATGTTCATAAGATCATTTGAGTCACATGGGGATGACACAATTGTCTTCATTTGTGTGTCATCATCATCGTCTTCATAATCAAGGGAGCAAAGACTTTTGGAATTTTTTAAAGTCTGCAATTAAAAAAAATACATGCTTATATTAATCATGACTGTACAGGAGGAGCAGAATAAATTCCCTAAATTCTTGAACAAGTTGACAGTGTGTACTCAGAATTAAAGCAGCGTGTTTGTTTAAAGTAATCCTGGAAACAGTATGGGGCATGAAGAAACAAGGAAGTAGGAAGGAAGGGTGTTTACTTACTACACCATCTGTTTTTGCACAGATATTCTGCACATATGAATTCTAGTTCGTGGCATTATTTTCAGTCCCCTGTTTATGCAGAAAAGTCTAAAATTTTAGCTTTAATCAACTAAGTGAGAAACTCCAAGTGTCTGATTTGATGTCTGAGCTTTCTGGCAAATCCGGAACACAGCATCTGGTAACATCATTCGGTTCAAACTGCACTGCACTTCTCGTGAGGAATTTGTTTCTGTTGTCAAGAATTAACTTCAAGTTCCCAAGGGTGTAGCTGCGGAGCCCTCGGGCCTCGCTTCATAGATGGTTAGTCTGTAGCACAGCAACTGGCACGTTTGGATAACCTCAAAGAGGAAAAATCTAAGCTTCCACTGGAAGTGGGTAACTCCAATGCCAAACAGCTTCATTTGTCTTACATTTGGGTACCATTTGGACAGTGATTCAGGAATGTGAGAACTCTAAATCTAAACAAAAAGTACCTTAAAAATAGAGGGGTGCTCAGCTTTATTTAAGCAACGGGAAAAAAGAAAACCTTAATCCACGTGCTACCTCTGCCTCTCAGATACAAGAATAAAATGCCTCTGCTCCCAACATAACCATAAGGGAGCCTTGACTAATTAGAATCCAAAAGAAACACTTAGCAGACAGCAGAAGTTTGATTTATGAATGAGACGCTTCTAAAGTCCACCTCCTATGAGCAGACAGCAAAAGAAGAGGGTGAAGCAGTCAGGGCTTCTCTTGGAGATGATAAGAGCCAAGAGAATGAAAGCGTGGCTATCAAAATCTTACAGGTTAAGTGACTCCAGTCTCACATACACATGGCAATTGTATATTACAAGTGAATCTGCAAGAAACAAGACCAGCCCTCACACTTCCACACCCATTTTCAGCTTTTCCCTCATAATTTGTCATTTCTTCACTTAAGCATTTTACATTTGTTGATATATTCATATGAAATGGGAACACTGCAACATTCACAGTACATTCCACACGTTCTTCCAGAACGCTGGATAATCCTTCTACCACTGCATACTAGCAGTCACATTAGCAGCTTACCAATACCTGTTAAGTGGCTTTTAAATGACATTTCCCACATTCAGAGAACTTAGAAATTAGCCAGCCTTGTCTGCGTACGACTGGATGAAGGAGAGGGAATGAGGAAGAAGAGGTGAAGTGATTTGCCTGACCCCTACGTCAGTGATATATGGAACATTTTTGCAGACAACCCCACAGACTGTCTTGAAGTTCATACAGTTCCTTGGACATGTCCACATCAAATCTACACAGAAAGATTATTCATTTGAGAAAAAAAAAGACTCAAGTAGAGGTGAAAAAGCAAGACAAAGTTGAAAAGCAAAATAAGCACTTGCGACTTTTGGAACTGAGTCATGGCACAGCTATAATGAGGTGTCAGAAGCAGCACTGGTCAGTGAGGGTGGTTCAGCATCAGTGTCTTACCATACCTAAGGCATTGCAACAGTATCTCCAAGTCAGCACCAAATGAAAACATTTCAGTGCAGATTCTTCATTACTGGTCAGAGGTGCCATTTGTTACGCCCATGATGTGCACAGTTCTCTGAAGAATTTTGGTATCATCAGCTACCCTTACGTTAGAATTAACGGACAGTGTTCTCTTATAATATACATTACACAGTTAATAATTCATAGGTTAAAGGCCAGCAGGATCTGAAGGATAATCTAGTTTGCTTGGACAAACATGAACTAGGCTTCCTTCAGGAGTTGATTTTATGGAACTCCAAGACCTGCATCTGGAGATCAACTTTTTGGAAAAAAGTTGGTGATCATAGCTGTATCAGGAAAAATTCACTAAACTCCTTGCTAGCTAGCCTTTGTTAAAGCCCACATCCTATTTTTAATGCGACTATCTTCAACAAAATTGTTAACCTTGAGTAGTCAGAAGGCTTTATCATCAAATTTCTACCCATGAGAAAAATATCAGTTCTGATACACAATACATTCCTGTTTCCACAACACATTTCTACACAGTTCACTTAAATAACGCTGGCACAAGCGTTTGAGCCCCTTTGTATGACTAAGGGGTGTGAATTTCTCTCGTATTTAGTTAAAAGCTAAAAAGCATATTTTGAAGTAGATAGTATTAAATATCTGAATCCTAATTGTACCAGACTGCTTTGAAAAGGACACATTTCCTGTTGTGCATCTCCATGTAGAAGACAATATTTTCAGTCCTTTAAAACTTATAGTAGAGACTGGGAAGGAGAGAGATCAAATAAAGGAAAGCTTTGAAAGTTCTGCTTTCAACGTCTTAGAAAGAAATTCCTAAGTCCCCCTCTAAAATATCTTTTATTCAATTTGCTGCTGGAAATTAATCCAACCACACAGCTGTCTTTCTAGAAGGTTTGTGTACATAAATGGAAAATTGCCTGTTAGCTGTACTGTGCCGAAGCCTCTTGAATGGGAACTTTTAGCTGGGTTCAACACAACAGCAAGCGCATTCAACTGGTTCTTTGTTCACCCACTTGTCACAACCGCACCAAACTAAAAATAGGTGGATTTATTATCTCGCAGCACAATCCCACTTCTTTCACAAGCCAAAGGTAGAAATTGCAATGCATTCAAGCCCTCTAAACAGCAGCTTTACATGTTACACTGGTACAGTACCACACCTTTCAAGCACAATCAGGCTCAGTGGGGAGCCCGGGAGTACTCGCTCAATGGTCCTCGGTTTATAAAGGATGCTGGACTAACAAGACAAAAGAATCTGCAGTTGGCAATGGATAGAACTCAATCAGCTAAAAGTATTCCTTTGTGCAATGGAAAAAAGAAAAAAAAAAAGAAACTTGGTTTTAAAAGAAGTGGGGCGATAAAATGTCTGAATATTAAAGAAAAAAAACTTTGTAGAGAAGACAATGGTGGGGAAGGAAATAAAAGAAATCTCTCTAGACCTTTCCTATACAAAGCAAACAAGAAAGGCCTAAAGTAGCTTGAAAGGAAGCTAATGTCTGCACTCTACCAAACCTCTAGTTCAAAAACCCGCAATACATCACTTTGCGGATATAAAAAGCAATAAAAAGGTGGTTTTTTTGTTTTACTAACAGAACTAGAGCATTTGCTACAGTAGTCATGGGAAAACTGAGTCATTTATGTATGTTAAAACCTAGTGTATGACGGGAGCAGCAGTTCTCGTGCTTCTTCCCCATGCCCCCATCATACACCCATCTTCCCCCCTCAGCTTTGGAAGGGGGTGGAAGACAGAGCTGTGCTGGGAAGGCGCAGCTGCGGCAGCTGGCACTCGGGGCAGGGGTCGACGGGAGCCACCAGAAGCCCAGCGCTAGTCACAGAGTCGAGACAGGCAGCTCCCTGGAGCCGCACGCTTGGAGGAGAGGGAACTGAGCAGACAAATGAGACTAGAGAAAGCCCGACTAGTTATTTGGCTTGCTCTGTCCCACCCTGAGACTTTTGCCTGCCACTGCGCAACACAACGCAAGAGATACTGCTTTAACAGACCTCGTACGTAGGGATCCTTGGCTGTTAAGGTCCTCTAGGGATGCGAAGGAGTGGGTGATGCAGCTTTCCTCACGTGGAGCAGATCCTTCATTTTATTAAGCTAAGAGGGAGACTTAAGGAAGAACTTAACTGAAGAATAAACTTCCACAGAAAGCTGGCCCTAAACACCACACTGAGGTACGTTTAGGACATGCTATCGTATGTGTGATGTCACATCCTACCATAAACAGATGTAAACAGAGGAGTGTCACTCCCAATAAACTGAATTTTCTGTTTACGCATCTAATGACTTGTATTATTACCTGTGACAATTCAAACTGCAGACATGCCCAATCCCTGTCATAAATCGCTATAAATCTAAGCTGGTTGTGTACATTAAAATGATTCAATCACATTCCTAATCCCTGCATCTTCTACAATACATACATAGAACAAATGTAAGGAAAGAGTTATGTAACGGCAACAGCAGATTGAAGCTTATTTTACAAAAGAGATCTGTACATTGGCTGATTTTCTATTTGTATACTTAAAGCCTATGAATTGCATTGCTATAAACCTCACTGTGGAATAAGGCTCTTGCCATTTGACTTGTCGTCTCTACTGTCTTGCACAGCACTGAGCATCTTGTGAACATTTCAGTCTTTCGGCTTGGAGAAGCTTGCAGTCAAGAAGAAATGCTGACTCAGTATGAAGTACAGCTGACAGGAGGAAAACAATATAGTATTCTTCATCTATGCCTGGAACTCTCTAATATACTCTAAAGCATTATTCTGAGTTTAGAGTTATAACAAAGTTGCCTGGGAGAGAATTGCTCCCTCCTCAAATGAGGAATCAAAGACTTCAATAGGCATTAAGTTTATAAATTAGAATGCCTAAAAAAAATTTAAACCAAAAACCATTACATATCCGTAAACTAGATATTTGAAATGAAGTCAGAATGTTTCCTTCTATCAAGTCGCAAAGCAAAGTAGTTAACACAAACGTTTCTCTATATATATATTCCATAGAAACAGAATTGAAATCCCTGTCAAATTCCTGATACCTTCATGGATTAAACTTAGCCTTCGTTTGAATTCACTCTGGGGGATGAACATGGCGTCCACTTTTCATAGCTTTAAAGTTCTCATTTTCCTGAAAATGAGACCTATATTTTTGGATTAAAAAAATCTAATTCTTATGTCACTTTTAAGGAATAGGAAGTAGGAAAACTATGGAATCCCAGATAAGAACGTGAAAGAGCAAATATAACCTCTATCATTCTGCTGTGCAATTAGACATTTAACTGTAATAACCACTTTCTGCATCAGAGATAAGATTACCACTGCAG